TCTAGCTTACCTAATTAGCATTCAAACGTGTTTACTGCTGATAATAATGCATATATTAAATAATACATATATTATACATATACTTGTTATTTTATATTCATAATCTCTTTATTAACGTTATTATACATTTTATTATTATTATGATTTATTCGTTCAGCGGACGTTCATATCTGTATAGCTTTGTATGGTATAAACACTGTGAAAGCCACTTCAAATATCTCTGATATTTGTGGATCATTTAAATATGCAAAACAACTTTTTTATGTGTTTCAGAGTTGAACTTCAATTTCCAGTTATATGACTGTTTCATATAAAAAGAGAGACTATCAGACATTTTTTGAGAGTTATTATTTTTGAAAATATAAATATTGGCGCGAAATTCACTCTAATAACACAGGAATACCAACACTTTTAACTCAAATATGGCCTGGTTTCGAAGCTCAAAAATGCCGGCTGAGGTAAACCACAGGTAGCCCAAGCTTGGTTTCTGTGGTGTCCTGTTATAAGGAAATGTATGGGGATTCAAAGGACCCCCGATGCTGCCTTGAGGTACACCGGAAGTGACTGGATCCCATGAAGATATTGCACCATCGAATACGACCCTCTGAAAAGGGCAACTCAGATAGCCTTCAAACCAATTCAAGAGCAGTCCCGCTATGTCATGGGGTCTTAGTTTTGCAAGGAGAATCTCGTGGTCAAGGACATCAACTTTGATATTCTTGTCAAGGCATTGTCCAATAGAATGAAGGACAGAAAGCAGCTGTGTGACACACTAGCGAGATGTTAGAAACCCATGCTTTGTAGTGGTAATCAGATGTATCACGTTGTCGTAGATTCTGTTGTAGACACAACGTTCCATGACTTTACTTAGGTTAGGCAGTAGCGAAACGTAGCAAAACATAGCAAGATATTACCATAAAAGATATTATTACTTTAGTGGGTTGGATCTTAATAGTTTTTCTTTAATATATGTATGAAACAAAATTAAGCAGTAATGCTCACAATAATATTTTATACTTAGTCTCTTTTATAGCCAATTGACTTCTTATATTCACACAATTTGCTTTCTTTTTAAGCATTTCGTGACTGTTCGGTATTCCACAAAGCAAACCCTTCATTACCTAACGGTGTATACACCATCCAACCCGGATCGCAAAAGTCCTTCAACGTCTCATGCGACATGACTACTGATGGAGGAGGGTGGACAGTCTTCCAAAAGCGATTAGATGGCTCCGTCAGCTTTGAACGCGGTTGGGCTGATTATAAAACTGGTTTTGGGGACCTGAATGGCGAATTTTGGTTGGGGAACGATTATCTTCACCGTTTGACGAAAAGCACCTTTTTAACGTTGCGAATTCGAGTCTACGATTGGGCAGGCAATATGGTACATGCCGAGTACAGTGTGGTCACTGTAGGTAACGAGAACAGCAAATACCTACTGACTCTTAAGGGGCTTTATAAAGGAGACGACGGTAATGCAATGTCTGCCCATAATAATGCACTCTTCAGCACATCTGATAGCGATAACGACGACAGTGCAGGGAATTGTGCCACAGAACACAAAGGAGGTTTTTGGTACAAGAGTTGTATTGAGAATGGTGCAAGTCCTAATGGCGCTTATCTTGGTAACGTTGTTAACCAGCAAGGCGTAGTTTGGAAGTCGTGGAAAAACACCTTCGAGAATATGAAAACAATACAAATGATGCTAAGGACGCCAAACTATGGTAAGTGGTGAAGGCTATTTTGACGAAGCTAAATTTTGCACCGTCTTTTCAATGTTAATAATATAAAAGTATACATTTTATGAAAGCTAAATAACCGTTTACGAAAATCAATTTAGATTTGTCTGTTTTGAAACACAAACAAATAATCAAATTTATCTCAAATATCTTTACATTCTAAAGATAATGTCTCTTTGGAATCTCAAACATCCGGATTTGCTGCTTTATTGCGCTTCATCTAATATTATATATCTATGAGGCAAAACTGATTGAGGACTTGAGGAGTAATGGTTGCAGTACGCAGTTCTAGCACAACTTACAGCGGCACGATCTCGAATGTATTACAGAGGATAGGTATGTGAGCTCCATCTAGATTCCTGACGCAAGCTGCTTCCAGCTTCTGATAACGATCTTAAAGAACTAAAGTCATTAAGTCAATCTGAAATTGTAATAAATATTATCAATTCTACTACGGGTGATTTTCAAAATGTCTATGCATGATGGGATTTAGAGACGCTTTATGGATCATGCTATCTATTTTTTCAATTAGTTCACTAAATTGATGATTCGACAAACTGGACAACTACCGTTAAATGAAGAACCTACTCTATATAATTCATTGTAAGATGGAATCAACGAGTGAATTAAAAATGTCTACCTCTTACCTTGTAAATCAAGTGTTGTTTAACTCTGTTATTCGTCTTTTGATCAGGTACAAACCATTTCGATGATTCTTTTACACCTCTGAAAATCTCGAATTTGAATGAAAACCTCCAATTTAGCCACTTGGACCGAGAAATCCGGTCAAACTTGGCTCCAAAAACATCTTTGGAAAGCCTATTTCTTCCTGAGAAAGTACTTTGGTTTCAATTTTGGTCAACAGCTTTCTAAATATACGTTTCTTTGAAGCAAACGCCCGAAGTTTGCTCGTTCACAACCAACTATATTCAAAGATATTTTGAGCTATTTTGGTTTTAAATACATGTAATTCAAAGAGAGTTTGTATAACTGATTTTCAAAATTTAACTGAATTCTCTATATAATATATTTCGGACCAATCTATGGTATTTATTTTATATATTATTTATTCATAATTCCCGTTTTATCTATATTCGAACCAATATCGTAGAATTTGTTGTTTTGATTACGTACCGCATAATTTCATTTTGCATTGAAATTTTGAAGATTTAGTCAGGTTTTGCTGAGAAAATCCAAGTTACAGTTTCTGCAAATGATGATGATGATGATGATGATGATGATGATGATGATGATGATGGTGGTGGTGGTGGTGATGATGATGATGATGATGATGGTGATGATGATGATGATGATGATGATGGTAATGTTTATTATTATGATTATTATGAAGCCAGTATCTGTTTTGTGTATGTTGCAAATTTAAATACGTTTTCGAAAGCTAAGCTTATTCAGCTTCAAAGTGTATACTTTTATTGCAAAATACTGTAAAATTTGAGTTACTACCGAAATCGATGAACTGTGAACACCGCGAAAAAAAAATCGTGATTTTGATAACTCACGTGACCGATTGGATTGAATCCCCTTTTCTACTTGCAAATAATATATTCTTAGTAGGTATATAGTCGCCTAGACGAGAAAAAATATGGTATTTCTTGCGCTTCAATGTGAAGACCTACGAAAAGGGGATTTTTATCGTTATTCAGTGCGCTTTCTTACCTTTTATCTCAAAAAAAAAAAAAAAAAAAAAAAAAAATCCGCCATCTTTTTTAAAATTCTCGCATAGATAAAATCCTGTAGAATGCCAGCCACAATGGCCGATTTGATCACGTGACCTCTTAGTGCAAGTCGCCTATTCCCCTCATAGTATTTATCATGCGCTCCTTTGTTAATGTCGACTCGTAGGTGGTCGCCACATGAAATGATTTTTGTAAACCTTCTTTGCCTACGAACGGATATTTTTTCTTACCTATGCCCTTATTAAAAAAAAAAAAAAAAATATTCCAACCCTACATTAATACTTTATCGTCAGTTCACCTAACATGTCTTTTCCCGTTTTTAGATGGCGCGATAAAAGACAAAAATGGCAAGGCGTGCTTTATACCTTATAATTTTAAAGGAGTTGATTACTACGCATGTACAAACGAAGGCTCATTTTGGGGTACTCCATGGTGCTCATATCAGTATGATTACATTGATAATTCTCTTCACTGGGGTTATTGCAATTAGTTCATACCGTTCATCAATTACTGTTAAATAAACGAGCAGGAGTGTTTTAGACCCGACAAAACACAATATGCGAGTTTATTTATTGAAGTGCTTCAAAAACGTATAATTCCCATACCTTTGGTTGAATTAGAGCGACCATATACTTCGCAAACATGGACTTTTATACAGCAATGTCACGCGCAGTGAGGTTTGTACGTCACTGCCATGTGCAGTGAGTGCACAAAAGGCTGCCACAAGTTAAAAACAACATGCCCGACTCAAGACAGGGGCACACTAGTCGGCAATATATTGTTGTCATCGATGATCTTAGAAACTGACCTTAAATCGTCTTCATCTAAACTATCTCTGATAAAGTCGTCATCATTATATATTATATCACATGAAGAATACTAATAATGATGAGACTTTATAGTTTCCAGAAGTATAATGAATCACAATGAAGTGGACTTTAGGGGGTTTAAAGGTTCATGCACGTGACGTGTATGGTTGTTCCAATTAGTTCAAAAGCTCATTAATCGATTATTCATGAGGGTTTTTTTTTATAAATCGTATGACTAGACTATTAAAATTTTTCAAGACGTGTTTCTAGATTAGGGACCTAGTGTTAGCCATTTTAGCAACCAACTGAAATGTTCACATTTGTCAGGGGTAATTGAGGAACGCACAAATTTAGAAACGTGAGCATTCCAAGGACATTAACTGAAGCATTCTGAATATCGCAAGTATACCAAACGCATACCAAAACCCAACTAACCTTGAAATACCAAACAATTGTTATAAGCAATAGCATGACCTGAGATTGGTAGCTATTAGATGTCGCCGAAAGACAAGGGAGATTTTTTGAAGTCCCGACGCCATAGGCGTCAACTCGGAAATGTCGATAACTTATTACATCACAAATCGTTAGAAAAAGTCCCGATGTGATGAACGCATGCGCGAGAACTAATGAATAGGTCCCACAAATGTCTGGGTCTTTAACACAGTGTAGCAGACAGGCATTGCGCCCAGTACAAGATTTGAGACCCAGTCATCGTCCAGATGTTATGAATGTCGAAATAATGGATAAGAAAAACATCATTTTGGAGTTGAAGTTAAACTTAAACCATGTCCCGAGGTGGATTTAGTTTTGCGAGTTTCCGATGAAATATCCAACCCCCAAGCGTCCGCACCCGTCTAGCTAGGTAGCAATTTTTCTAGTAATATTTCAAAAACGAGTGAGAGTGTTTCATTAGGGTTTCCAAACACGAGAAAACATTTGAAAGAACGATGCCGTAGGCTGAGTGCTTTTATTGTTTTCCAGTGCCGGTTTGAAAACCCTATTGAAACACGAAGCACGAGTTTTTGGGATAACTTTTCTAATAAGTTAGTAATTTATCATGCAGGAAAAAATATTTTGAGGGGGAGAGAGTTAGAAAAATGAAGCAAAAAGGTGAAAAGTGGATGAAAAATTCTTCTAGCTATTTTGTAACTCTATCCTCTCCATTACTTACTTTTTATACTTCTATCTAATATCTACTTACGTAGTTACCTTTTTCTTTTCTTTTTACCTTGGACTTGCCATGTCTCGAACCTGGGACCCATGGCGTGATAGTCTAGTGCGTTACCAAATATACCAATAAGAAATTTTGCTGACAAAGTTGGATTGGATTTATATTTTATTGGTGATTTTCCCATACAACAGCTCAACTTATATTAAATAACGCAATAAAAACAAGCAAACTTTTTTCCCTTTCTTTTCTTTGTAGTAAAAATTGTTACATTTTTCTTTATTTCCTCGGCTACGTCTCATGAGTCCACAACATTTGACGTCTAGGTGACGAAAATGGTGTTAAATAAGAGGACATACTACGGAAATTGATTAAATATCATTTTCACCAACAAAACAGCCATTTGCAATAACTATCTTTTTATTTTCTTGAAATTGCGCGGAATAAGATCCAAGAAAACGAATCAAGGCGGTGTGATTGACAGACGTATCATTCTGGATCCAAAACTGGCAAGAAACAAATTACGATCACGTGGCTATACGCTCTTGTAATGTATCCCTGCCCTTTTCAGTTCCATTATCGCCCACGCGAAAATAGATATTTATGTGCTAATAATGCCACAGGCTTTTAGTTCTTATAATACTCATCTTTAAGTATACATCATAACACCTAAATTTTTACCACCCAAAAAACTTTTTTCTTGGCTTTCCTGACATCATTTGCTCCACCACAAACTGAGCAAGGTCTTTTCGGTTGATTTCCTCAAGAGCCACTGCAAGCTGTGAAACCAATTGGTTCTTTCCTAAGGTACTTTGCGTCCTCCATATGCCCAATAAACGGAAGGCTTTCTCCTGAGGTCCCATATTAAGGCCCATCATCTTGTGAAGATCTGTATCAGCCACACCTAAGAATGTCCCCAGCTGAGACCACTCGTCGTTAGTTAGTTTATATGCCACTCGACGAAGATCTCGGTCGTTTAAGGCATCTGAACAATTCAAATTAGAAATTAGAAAAAATGCATAACTAAATATCGGGCGTGATATTTTTCTACGTGTAACAAATAGACGTCAGTTTTTTAAGCGTCTGTCCTCTTATTCACGATAAACTGCGTCATCACATTGTCAAAGTAGTGTGGATCTGCATACTACTTTGACAATGTGATGACGAAATCTATTGTCAATAAGAGGAAAGGCACATTAAAAACTGATGTTGTTTTTTACAACGACAAAAACGATGATAACTTCTCATTTTTAGTGATCAAAACAACCAACGTAAAGAGCGCGCGCTCGTTGACGTCAGCTTTATCTGTCTGTCCTCTTGTTGATAATAAAAAATAACCAATCAGCGCGCGAGAAATTTGTAACTTATTGTAAAAATTAATTTTTACAATAAATAAATAAATATCGTTCCCCTTCAGTAAATGGCGAACCATTCAAGTTAGTCTTGAAAATAAAGTAATTACTATTCAATGCCCCCAGCAAAGAGAAAATGAACTAAAAGAAAAAATCTTCGCGCCCCATCATGAGCACTCTTTGATTCTATTTTAGAATCTTTGATAATATTCTTAGAATCACATTTGCCTTGTTTGTTTTTCTGCACGCGCTCTACCCTGTTTGCTCATGTTTTCTTGTGTTTTTCAAAAATACCTCTGATATGTTGATGGATCAGATTGTGGAGGGAATCATTTCTCAATGTCAATTTGAATTTCGGTATTTCTGAATCATTTTTATATCAGAAGCAAATAAAATATATTCCTAAGACTTAAGTCTGTGAACAGCATCCAGCTGATCTGAAATGGTAACGTTGATATGACGTCACTACAAAACTGAGGTATCATTTATGAAGCCTGTGAAAATTGACGAGCGAAAAATAAAAGCCTGTCCACCATTGCAATAAAATATAAAACTAACTCATTATTGTGTTATCGTTAACAACGTCGTATTAGGAAAGTCCTTTTTTTAAAATTGGTTTCCTGGAAATCCGATTCCAAGAGGAAAAGTTACATCTCAGTTTTGCAAATGTTCTCGATTCTGATTGGCTACCATTTTCTCTCACAAAACAAACAAAAAACGACCACAAACTGGAAACTCGTTTTTACTTAGTCTTGCGCGCTGATTGGCTATTTTTATCATCAATTGAACAAATTGACATCAGATTTTAGGTTGCTGTTCTCTTAGTGACAATAAATTGCGTTTTATTTCATACATACTGAGATTTATAATTTGTAACTTCCTGTTTGTAAACCCATTTTCCAAATTTTCTTTGCCAATCAGAATGGCAAAACGATTATTTCACATGTGAAAAAATCATTTCGTTCAATCACAAGGAGCTGTCAAGACGTATTGTGTTTTCAGCAGCTTTGTAGAGCACTGTCGCTGTCAATTAACGGCAAAAAAAAAAAAATCATCCTTACTGGTTGACCTGGTTTAGGTTTTTCCTTTATTTTCACCTCAAAATATATTAGCAAAGTGGCTGAGAAATCTAGAAGATGTGCTGCTTTGGACAAACCTATAGAGAGATTCATTGATGACCCCCCCCCCCCAAATTTCTCGCCAAAACACGAACAAGAGATGTTGGTTTATTGACTTAGTTCCTAAGAGAGAAGAATGAAGCAAGAAAAGTCAAAGAAATTCCACCAAAAGAATTAAATGACCTTATCAGCGAATTTATTATTGCTGTTACGAAAAAGGATAGCGAAGGATTTGAACCATCTAGCCCGCAGAGGACTCATTTCAAGCTTCAATCGGTACTTAATACTGAAACAGAGCCTGTAAATACCCAAAGAGCATAATTGTAGACAAAAAGTTTGAGCAGACGCAACAAGCTTTGTAAGCTCGATGACTTCGTGAAGAGAAGAAACAACATAGACATTAGAGATGCGATTTGCGCTTCGACAAACTTTGCTTTAGATCAGGATGTAAAAAATTGAAAAGGATATTGAAAGCGTTTAAGACCACTATTTGTGCGAGCTTTAGGGGCAAGAACATCTTCTGAAAGAAGCAGCGACGTAGTCAGGGGGGGGGGGCATTCGTTGTAATATTGCAAGCAGGTCGGGCCGCGCCCTCCGCGTGTGCCTCATTTATTATCTACTAAATAAATCTCTTCTCGACTTTTGTTATTACAAATAAACTGAAGTTAAGGAGTGGTGCGTTCGACACTAGTCCTTCCCATGATCCTCTTCTAGGCCCCTTCCCAGTACACAGCACTGTAATGGGGACCTGGCGTCAATAGCATAAGTTATAAGTCAACAACTATAACAACTTCTACAACAAGATAAACAACTTCTTTAGTTTTACGTACCGTTATTATTGGAAAAGCTGGTCTCCTCTTTCTTTATCTCTTCGCAGGGGGTCGATGAACCTCCATCTACTATGTCATCCGATATTGAACCAGAGTCAAGACTTGCCGTGCTTTCCTGAAAAGCTTTCGCTTTTGGTAATTTATTCTCTAATCTTTTCTTCTCTTCCGCAGCTTCTTTTGTTCGCTTGTCTAAAAGCACCTTCATCTGTCGTATCTTGGTGGAAAAAGGGGGTATATTTGCATTTAATGACGCATATATAACCGAAAACATCAATTCAGCCCCAAATATTCAGGTATTGTTTTTAATTCGTCATTTTAATTTTTTCAAAAGGACCAGAAATATATTCTGAAGCTTTTTTTTTCATTCACATCCGTTGACGTTTGAAAGAGAAGATGGGAAAATCTGAAGAAGTAATTGCTGCCTAGCTTTTATTTATAGTTTTGACAAACATGATAGTGACTACATACCATGTTTTGAAGTTCGTTCTCCTTCTTGAGCCACAAGCGCTTTTCTTGTGCATACCTCTTTGCAAGATCTGTCTGTAATTCAGAGCACTCTTTCCTATAAAAACGTAATAGGATCATATAGAATTGAGCTCTGTGACTCTATCGGCCGTAGCAGAAATTATTTTATAACCTTGCAACTCATTTCCAAAGAGCCGGATCCAAGTCTCAACTTCCTATATGCGCTTTACAAAACTAAAGCAGCCCATGAGCTAAGAAGCAATGCACGTGTAAATATTTGCATGGTTTTGCCTTATCGTTATATACCTTAATCGTTTTGTCCATTTGTTTTCCATCTCTTCTTGTTCAGCTTTAAGCTTTGTTTGATAACTACTTTTAAGTTGTTGAAGTTCTGCCTATTTTAAAGAACAATCAAATCCATCGGTCGTAATTAAAGTAAAAGTAACAGTTTAAGAAAAAATTTGCATTTAACGTTTTCCTATTCCACCGTGTGCTTCTGCCTGTTTATTTTCGTACACTCACTTTTCTCAAACTCAAACCCTTTTGACCTATCCTTTTAGACTTTTAGTTTAAGTCCATACATTCATTCCACCTATCTCCTTTCTTGCACGTTTATTCGCTGTCCTGCATTGTCCTCGTACTAACCTCAGTGGCAGCTGATTTCTGCTTCGCCTTTCTAAGTTGATCCCTCAGCTCCTCTACTTCTTTATTTGATTTTTCTGTAATTCCATTTTGGGTGACAACTTTATCAGCTCCGGTATCGTCACTTTGAGTTTTTCTTTTCTGGAGCTCTTCTATCTCATTTTCGTACAATTTAATCTTCTTGTCCCTCAGCGTGATACCTATGCTGAGTTCCTCTTTTTGTTTTGATAATTTCTTTGTTAAAGTCTGGAGTTCCTGGACTTCTTGACGAAGTGCTATAATACTGTTGTTGTCGAATTGTTGCTTCTCTTCTCGTAACAGAGCAAGTTCTTTGTCTACTGCTTCTTTTTGAACAGTTTGTGTCTTGAGAAGAAGGCCAATTTCTTCCTTTTCTTTTAAGAGGCGTTTTGTTTCTTGTTTCAAAGTTTCAAGTTTTTCCGGGCCCGTGTCTTGCTGTTTCTTTTCAGTCTTGCTTTCGATTGCTTTTGTCTTGGCTAGTTTTGCAGACAAGGAATGTAATTCCTAATGATTAATAAAGTAAATATGTAAACCATAAATTTTAATTAGTAATATCAAAGGGACCAGTCATCATTGATCTCCGGGGGATGGGTCGGTGGATTTAGGGGGCAACAGACAGCTACATATTGACAGGTGTTAAAAATGGAGGGGGGTCTTTACACAAAAATAAGATAAACATTTAAAACAACCGTTTTTTAGAGGGGATTCTAAATAAGTGCCTCATGGGGAGATCAGTTCAGTAATCTTCTTCATGTCGCAACAGCCCCTCTTTCCCATGTAATAAAAAATGTCCCAAAATAAATACAGTGTCGCCAAAGCTGCAAGAAGTTTTGTGCAATAGCACATGCTTGTGCTAAAGTGACAATGCAAACTGAAGTGAATGCATTTTAATTACATTCAATCAGAATTAATTTGTGCCATTAAAAATAGCGGTCTACTTAATTGCACATTACATATTAACGTAAGTGAAACAAATACTAAATTGTACCTGAAAGGTTTTACCAACTTCAGTTTTATGAATTTTATTTGGAAGAGATATTGTCGTAAATACATTAATGGAATATTCAAGGGTTGATCTGTGGTGCTTGTATCCTTTTTAGTTTTATTGTCAGGTTATGGTATTACTCGTTTTTAGTGGAGGGAAGGGAGGAAAGATTTGTCAATTAATCAGTCATTATTATAATAACTAACAAATGAGTGGTGTGCGTGCAATGAAAATCCTCTTAAAAATTATGCTAAATCCTTAAAGTGCTTATAAGCCTTTACACAATATTTTTAGGATTGATTCTTTAAATAGTGAATAGTTGACTGTGAAAATAATTCGTCATTTGAATGTCGGGTCTTTGAGCTACGAAGGTTTATATTTCCAATATGTTAATGACTATGACGTAATAAGGGATTTGAGTTATTTTGTGGCAATTTTTGATATTGAACGCTGGACATTTTTTGAAAACAAATTTGTAAGAACCTTTACGTGAGTCACGAGTAAAAGGGGGATGCTTTTAAAATACTGTATTCCAGAACGAGTGCAGTGTTGTATATTAAATGATCCCTTATGTTACGTCATAGTCATTAACATATTGGGAATATAAACCTTCGTATCTCAAAGAYCCGACATTCAAATGACGAAATATTTTCACAATTAACTATCCACTATCTAAAGAATCAATTCTGAAAATATTGTGCAAAGGCTTATAAGCACTTTAAAAGATAGCCATACGAAGTGCCTTGATTGGCCTATTGCGGCAGTACTAGTGCAGAACAAGACCAACTGGCATTGCTGTTGTGTAATTGATCGTTCAGATTATCAGTACTCCAAGGTGTCAATGGCCATTACATTTAACAGTGCAGTGAATTGTAAACGAAACTGATATTGATGTTTATGGTGCTTGGTGCTGGTCGAGTGCTTCATGCTTTAGTACCAAACAACTGTACAAGCCTTCCGAAGCTCCGTGGATACACTCTTGCATGAATTTTCATTAAAAGCTTTTTTGACATCTTTTTGTCTTTTTCTTTATTTCAATGGGAATAATTCGTCCGTCTCCACTAAATGCAAGCATAAATGTCTAAAAGGTATCACTGTCCTATCTCAGCATGAATTTCAATCTCTTAATTTGCCTTATGCCCGCAAATTATCTTCTTTTATTTAAAAAAATACCTGTTTTGAGAAGCAAAATTATTCAATCCGAGGTTTGACGTTCAAAGAAAGCAGAATTTTTTGCAATGATCAACTTACGTTACTATTACTAAATAACTTCTAAAAAGCAAGTCTTGCAATCTTACCCTTTTCTTGTCGGTTAATTCATCCATCAGTTGAGCCTTTTCTTCGTGTTCTACAGCAAGCTTTTCCTGCAGCAAATCGATCTCACCTTTAGATACTGCAATAGTCGATTTGTGGGTCAAAATTGTCGCTTCTAAGTCAAGAATTGTCGTCTTGAGTGTTTCAATGTTAGAGTCAGACGGGTTGCCATTGTTCAGTTCGACAGAATTCTGTACAGATCGAAGCTCTCTTTGTAGATCAGATACTTTGTTTGCACAAGATTGAAGTTCACTCTGAAGTCGAAAGCATTTTTCTTCCGCTGTATCGAGATTTTTCTTGGTTTCTTGATTTTCGTTTTTGAGTTTTTCTGAAAGGAAAGACATGAAGGACAACAAAAAGGTCAATAAAAGAAAGAAGTAAAAGATGAAACAATAAGATTAAGTATTTTTACTATGATTTATTAAATCAGTTTTCAAGAAAATTCGTTTTGGAATGCAAATGTCTATCGATGATCAAAGTTAGAGTAGTGAAAGTTAGTGTCTATGAGTTTAGGTAGACCTTGTTCCAGCATAACGCAAATGACTTACCTAACTCCATAGTCTGATCACGCAAGGATTTCAGCTTCTCAACCTCTCCATACGATTTACTCAACTTTGATGCCAGTTCTTCGCAGGTCTTTTGAGCGTCTTCCTTTTGTTTTCTTAACTTATTTCCCTCCTTTTCAAGTTCAGATTTCTCTTCCTTTAATGCTGCTATATTCGCTTCAAATTCCTTAGCAGAAAGGCACATCTTGCTCAGCCTCTCTACATCGTTGCTTGATTTTTGCATTTCTTCCTTCAGTTTGGTACACTCTTGAGTCCTTTTTTTAAGTTCATTTTCGAGTTCTTTTACTTTTTTCTCTAAAATTTCATTTTGTTTGAATGAGTTCTTTTTATCTTTTTCCATAATCGCAAACTTTTTCTTCAGTTCAGAAACTAAATTTTCTTTCTCCTGTCTTAACTTTGTATATTTTTCATCTATCTCATCTTTTTCTTTCCTAAGTTGACAGATATCTGCAGTCTTCTTCTTTTCCTTTTCCAAACTTGAAATACTTTTTCTTTTCAAATCCTCTTCCACGGCTCTATTTTCTTTTTCGAGGTCTTTCACTTTTTTTTCCAAAATTTCTTTCTGTTCAATTGATTCATTCTTTTTTTGCTCGAGAACTTTGAGCTTTTCAGTCAGTTCAGACACTAGTTTCTCTTTTTGTTGTACTAGCTTATTGTACTTTTCCTCAATCTCTTCTTTTTTGTTCATAATCTTTGAAATTTCCTGTGATTTCTTGTTCTCGTTTTCTAGCTGTTTGTTTTTCAAATCTTTTTCGATAGCTTTACTTTCTTCAAGTTTTTCTTGGAGCCTTTTATTAGCCAGTAGGTTTTCTTTCTTCTCTCGTTCGTATCTGTACATTTTCTCTTCAAGCATGTCATACTGTTCCATTTTGGTCCTCATATTATCATACTTTTCTTCCATGCTTTCATGACTTCTGTTCTTCTCTTCTAACTTCTCTTCCAGTTCTTTTCGTAGTGTTTCAAGATCACCAATTTTTACCAAAAGTTCGTTCTTAGATTTCACTTGCTTTAAGTACTTTTCATTTTCCTTTTGTAGGTTTGAAATCGTTTCTGTATATCCCCTTTGTTGGGAGTCTAGTTTTTGTTGCAAACTTTCTGTTTTAGTTTCTGATGCTTTGACCTTTTCTTCCAGTTCAGCTCTTTCACTTTCTACCTCTCTTAGCTTCAACAGGAATGTTTGCAACGTGGCTTCAAGTTCTCTAGTATCTGCGGCGTGTTTCTTTTCTACATCCTCCTCTGAAACAAAAACTAAAATAATACTCTTCATCAGTATTCTTGTGTGGAGTCAAGTATTAGCTTAAAGTTTCGTTTACGAGAGAGAGGGAAAGCAATAAAACAATTTATAATATAGTCAAGTAAATCTGCGCGATCTGATTGGTTGAAAAGCATGAACCATTTGCCCATGGGTTGCACGCTCACGTCAGCTTTTTTAGCTTCGGCGAAAAAAAAAAACTTTTTGTATCTCTTTGCTGACAATTTATCTAGAAAAGATAACTGAAAATGATTGAAAAAAACTAGCGAAAATACTCATCAATCTCCGACATTTAGTATAGAGTTGTCATTTGATCAGCCTAGTAATAATACGTCAAGATTTGCATCACTTTCAAACAGTGAGCTGGACAAGATTGTGTCAGAGCATCACTCCAAAAAGACAAAGCAAACCACAAATCGGTCGGTGTCTACATTCAAAGGATTTTAAGCAATGATTAAATAAATACAAAAATATTGTTATCGTGTATTTATTCAACAAAAGTATTTCCAAAGTAATTAACTATAAATATCTTGCTCACCATCT